CTCTAGATCTTCACAGACTAGGAAACTTTAGTAAGCCATTTTGCAGAATGTATGTCCATCAAGAATGTTAGTGCGTCTCCAACAGGATCTCCTTCAGAAATTCCATCTTGGAACTATAATAAAAGACTATCTGTGAAGTTTTTACTTCCCTGTCTTCCTCACTGACACTTGTCACTGAAGAACACGACTGTCAGAAAAACTTTTAATGAGAGGATGCATAAGCTGCCATCAATATGGCACTGCTATATGCAAATACTGGAGTGTTGCTAGAGAAAAAAGTCTTCTAGTATTTGATGTACCTAACTGTGTATTTACTACATTCAGAAAAACACATTGAGAGGGTTTCTGACATTTCAATATTGCCGTTTATGGGAATGAAAAGAATGACAGAAGTCACTACATGGTGCAAGATTGACTTTTGATTACAATGCAAAATGCCAACTTCAGATTCTATTATGGAAAGAAGAGTCACAGATGCGGGCATTGAATTTCTCATGCCAGAAGGCATTGTCTATTTTATATCCACTAATGTGCCAGATTGGACAAAATCTGTTTCAATGATTTAAACAGCACGAGGAGGAAAATACTGCAGATCCCTTTGTAAAAACAGTTTCTTCTACTGCAACCAACTAGAAAACTTTTGAGACAGAAAAATGACTACTAGTTAAGAGTATGTTTTATATTTCTACACTTTAAATTAACAATGGCACAGAAGAATTTTTAAAATGTTTTCCCCACTCTGAAATTATGGCATTCAGTCACAGTGAAGTACCTGTGCATAATGTAAAAATATTTCCTTATCTTATTTCTAGTAATATATCAAGTATATACATATTTGCATTCCGCAGTGCTTGATTACCAGTGTCTTTTTTAGAGAGACACTTCAACCATCAGAACCATATGCTTGCAAATTAAAGAAATAATTTTTTTGTGTCAACACGAGTGAGAAATCTGCACTCCTGTTATTTGTACTTTCCAGTCTACTACACAGACATCACCTTTCACTCGATTTTTCCAGAATGCTTTGTGTTGCTTTTAACAATGCTTTAAAAGAATTATTAGGGTGTATACCTTTGGATCAGACACAGAACTCGGTATGTTAAGTACTGGAAAAAAAGCCTCATTACTTCTGAAATGGAGTTGATCTGTGCTGCACTCATACTTAAGCTCAGCCCTTTGGTTAGAGTTTCGCCGTTCTTAGGAGTCCCACAGAAGCGCTCGGCTAACCCCAAAATCCACGCTCCATCTATGCCTTCAAGGTATCACTTTGGCCCACTACTAACAGCATTCTATACCCAACTTCTTTTGAAGCAAACACCAGTGGGACACAAACTCACACAACTTCATGTCATTCTACCCAGCCAAGTAACTCCCACTCTTGACAGATGAAGCAACATAAGCACATCAAGAGCTGTTAAACTCAGGAGGAGCTGGACACAATATTCAACTGAAAAAGATATGGTTATTTTTGTTTTGAAGACAAGCACAGTCTTTAAGACATGAACCATTATTTGTAATTGTTGCTCTTTTTAATCTGTCATTTTGTTATTACTAGTAAATTTAATAGTAATAATTTTCTGTTATTACTAGTAAATACATGGCTAATGCTTCTCTTAATTTTGTGTGTCACGTATTTCTTTTTTATGACCTCTGGGAGTCCTGCCACTCAGAGGAGTTTCTAGTTAAAAAAAATACCTATTTTTTTCTAAAGAACTCCAAATTATACTTTTTAGAAAATGACATTGTCTACACATCCCATTCTTTTTATCTGACTTTTTTTGTTTTATGTTGAAGTTTTGACTGACCTCACAGAATGGGATAAGAATGTGTCAGATGTAATAAAATCACAGATTATTCAAAGGCAACAAAAATACCATGGAAAGCAGCAACTAGAATAACAAGCAAAGTGAACAAGGCAGGAATATGAAAAAAAGGCTCTGTGTAGTTTCGACAGCAGGGGAACCAAAGGAAAACCCTGCAGACTGAGGGAAGGTAAGTGAATATTCCTTCCATCAAAGAATGCAGATTGTCACCATCTTGTGGGCTTTTTACTGGTTTTCCTTTCATACAGTCTGCTACAAGTAAGAAGGAATGTTTTTCCAATAATCTCTTGATAGTTAATCAGTTTGACCTTTGCTCATACTTGCCAGAATAAAACTGTTTCCTAATTTATTTTTTACTTTTCATAAACCTCTAGCTTGATCTTCCATCTTTAAAAAGATCAAAAATTTTATTATACCTAATATCAGATTATTGAAGATTTTAGTACATGCCTGGGCAGTTCATCTAATCCCATTGACCTTTTCATATTAAAATCCAGTTTTATGCTTTATCTGCTATTTGGGAAAAAAAAATCATCCGTTGTTCAGATGGTAGTTCTTTATTCTTATATGAAAATTAAAGCATAACATGACTTCCCTCTTATTTACATTGCACTGAGAAAACGAGTCCATGATTTAAAAGAAGGTGACTGTGCTAAGTCTTGTCTTTGGATTTTTATGACTAGTTCAACTTATGAGGCTGCCTTCTGCCTAAAAAGTAAGAAGCATAAATATCAAATAATCAGACTGTCACCTGTTTAGCTCATTATTTCCTTATTTAAAATTCATACAGAGATAATATTTGCTGGTTGATTTCCTTCTAATTTATGTATAACTAACTGATGCCAACGTCCTAATATCTGTGGCCAAAAGAAACCTCCTACAGGCAAAATAAACCTAACTGTCTATTCCCGAAACCAGTGGTTTATGAAAAAAAACAAACAATAAATAGAAAGTGAAAATCTTCCACACAAAGCATGTTGGCTTCCTACACAGAAATTTCACCACACGTGACAGAGCAGATGAACATTATAATTAAACAAAACCAGAAAAGTACCATGGGGAACTGCTGAAGCAAGTCGCACAAATCATGTTTATTCTGCCAAAAACCTGCTTTGTTACAGAAAGCAAAGAAGGGCTGAAAGGGAAGTTTTGGTTATTAAAAATAAACACTAATGTATGCTGCCGATAAGAAGGCAGCACTGTTTATAGGAAACATAAGGAGTTTTTATCTTACATATTGAAACAAATTTAACTCTAATAAAAACTTCCTCATGGACATTCTAAGCAACAGGACTATTAGTGACTTCGCTCCCATTAATACACTTTCTCTCTTTTGGATGTTATAGCTTAACTAAACTTCACTAACTCTTCCAGTTTAATTCCTCAAGTCAACTTAGAGACATCAGAGGCAAGCTTTGAGATTTTTGTCAAGTGTTATGCACAGGAGAAAATAAAAGATCATCAAATATGGCTGGCAAACTATAAGGCTTTGTGAAGGATTTAAGAGATGCAGGGAAAAAAAGATTAAACTTAAAAAAATAATGACCTCTGGAAAAAAATTACCAAAAGGTAGAAAAAATTTCTGGAATGAGATGACAAACTGCTATTTGCATAAATAAGTTAACCACTGTGTTCCTCTGACACAGGTCCTTGTGAGCACTGGCCAGGTCAGCGACACTTCCTAGGTAAGGTTGAGGGAGGAAAAAAAAGTAGTTTGAGGAAGTTCTGTGACTCCATATCAGAGACCAGCAACAACCAATTGTACCAACTTTTTTGTGTAATATCCATAGTAGTGCTCAAATATAAGCATCCAGCTGTATGCTGGTTAAGTATGCACCCTTATTTTTTTAGATATATATATATATACACACATATATATGGTACATTCAAGATGGGAATGCACACGTTATCTCTTCTTTATTCTGCCTTAAAACACAAAACCACGGTCAACCCTATATGGACAGATGAGTTCCATTTTGTCAACAGGCATTTATGCCAATGGAGTATTCATCAGCAAAGAAGAAATTGAAGCAAGAACACATTTAATCAACACAAATAAAATTTATATTTTTTTTTTAAAAAAAGGAAAAGTACTTCTGAAGTTTGAGAAACAGAAAAAGAAAAAAAAATGTATAACAAAGACAGTCACATGTCTGTGAATAAGTTGGAGATAAAACAATGGCAAAGTTAGGTTGATTGATGAACTATTCCCTAGGTCCTCGGGGAAATGAGAGTTCTGCTCTCACTAGACTGAAGTTTAAGATAGAAGACAATAAGCTGAAAGAAAACGATGGCCTAATTAAAACAAAGTTATCTATCTAACAGCTAACCTAACTGCACTAAAGAGAGACAGTGACTGATAACACTGAAAAAAAAGGAGACAAAAATCCAACAGAAAACCTGGATAGAGCTAGCAGAAATGTGTCTCCAACTTCTTTC